TTCAACTCCTTCATCAACCTCTCCTTCTTCAATCAGTTGTTCCTCAACCTCTCTCTCTTCAACTTCTTCCGCATCCTCTTTTTCTTCAACCTCTTCAACTCCTTCCTCAGCCTCTTTTTCTTCAATCTGTTGTTCCTCAACCTTTCCATAAACCTACAATATGGAGGGCTAGTTAGTAAATCTACAATATGAAAGCCAAAAATAGTGATTACCAGAACATACCTCTTTCATAGCAGCCACTGCTTCAGTATGTGTATATCTAGACATCAGCAACTCCTGTAAAGTAAGTCTTTCACTCACATTCACCTCATTGTCATCATGTTCTTGTTCCTGAATATCCTCTTTTGCTTGACTCATACCTTGCTTACCAGTAGGTGCATGGGTAAAAAGATCAACAAAATCCTCATCACAGGTTAGGGACACATCGTCCTTTGCTTCACTCTTATGTTTCTTACCATTAGGTGTTTTCTTTGGTGTTTTGTTCCTTGATCCGGACACTTTAGTTTTCCCTCCTCTCCTTGCCATCATCTTAGTCCTTTTCAGAGGACTAACATTAGGACCACCTACTTGATTACCAGATTCTGAAACTAGGGGAGGAGTAACATCACTTCTTGGTATATCAGGCCCACCAACTTGATCACCACATTCTGAAACTAGGGGAGGAGCAACATCACTTCTTGGTATAGCAGACTCAACTGGAGGGAATTGGTCAAAGATAGGTTGGCCTCCCCCATCTTTCCTAGGTCTTCCAATCTTCCTTTTTGGGACAGGGGGCTTAGGTACCTCATTATTTGTGCATGAAATCTTATTATGCCCAAGTTGTTGGCACTTTCCACACCTCACAGTCCTAGTAACCTTTAACCTTTGTGAGGGGTATTTGGCATCTTGTGATTCAGATGCATGCTTCACTCTATTTACTTTGGGTCTTCCAGGCATCCTTCTAACGGGGGGTGGTAATGGTTTAATAAACTCAGTCATTGGCCACAAGTTGCTTCCACCTACAGGTTGTATGTTCTGACTGTAGGTTGCAACATATTTGTCCTTATGGAACCAAGAATAAAGGAATTGACTTGGATCTTTGTGGACATAGTTGATTGCAGCTTGACTATGCATACATGGTATGCCCGACAACATCCACAAGTTGCAGGTGCAAGTGTGATTGGCTAAATCAACATTGTATCCATTGTAGCCATACCTAGTCTCAAACACATCACCACCACTTAGCACCATTGTCCACAACCTACACACAAAACAAACAAAGTACACATATAAATACTTAATATTTTTTGGATACATGCCAATAAAAACTTATATTACCTCATATCTTTCCCAAATTCATTAAGCTTCAGTTGTATGTTAGGCCCATAATTACCCCTCCATTTGGCTACCTCTTGACCTCGGAAGGTCCCTACTAGGGATGAGATTTGGTACTACTAGGGATGAGATTTGGAACCGGAAGGTCCCTATGGTTTAGGGTAATTTGCATGTTTGGTCTCTAACTTATTTTTTTAACTCGGAAGGTCCCTACTAGGGATGAGATTTGGAACCGGAAAACCGGACCGGAACCGAAATCAGACCGGAACCGGAACCGTTAGAACCGGAATATATAGAACCGGTTCTGGTTCCGGGTTTAAAAATTGGCTTTATCCGGGTTCCGGGTAATCCGGGTTTGGGTTCATCAGGTCTGAGTAAACCGGGTCTAAAAACCGGAACTGGAACCACTTTTAGGGTTGGAACCGGTTTTTGTGAAATGTTTAAAAGATGCATATCTCATTCGTTTCAACTCCGATTGACATGCGGTTTTTTCCAACGTGTAGTTTAGAGTTTGTACATGATTTTAGACTATAAATTTGTCATTTTTAGTTTTATATTCATTGACTTACAGTCCCCCAAAGTCGAGATATCAAAGCTGAAAATTTGTAGTTTTTCAGTTTTCTTGTATTCTGTGAAAGTTTTAAAACACGCGTATCTAATTCGTTTGAAGCCCGATTGACATGTGGTTTTTTCCAACTTGTAGTTTAGAGTTTGTACATGAGTTTAGACTATAATTTTGTCATTTTTGGTTTAAAATTCAATGATTTACAGTCCCCCGAAGCCGGGATATCAAAGCTGAAAATTTTCAACTTTTCAGCTATTTGTTTTTGTACTTTGTATTCTGTGAAAATGTTAACACATGCATATCTCATTCGTTTAAAGTCGGATTGACATGCGGTTTTTTCCAGAGTGTAGTTTAGAGTTTGTACATGATTTTAGACTATAATTTTATCAATTTTGGTTTCATATTCAATGAGTTACAGTCCCCCAAAGTTGGGATATCAATATAAAATTTTTCAAATTTCAACCCACTAAGTAGTAAGTAATTACCAAAAAAATTCAGTTTTTCTGGGTTTTCCGGTTCTAAACCCACGTTATCCGGTTCCAACCTACCCATTTCGATGTTTCTGGGTTTTCCGGTTCTAGACCCACTTTACCCGGTACCGTACCTGGAACCGAACCGGAACCGGTTCCTATATATCGGTCCGGTTTCCGGTTCTACAAAATCTCGTTAAACGGTTCCGGGTTTTTCGGGTCCGGGTCCATCTGGTCCGGGTTTGGACCCACTTTCATCCCTAGTCCTTACTGTTTGTTTTTGTTATGCGTCTGGTCCCTGTCCTACCAAAAAAAACTATTTTGCACTTGATTTTTTAATTTATTTAAATAAACACACCCCCTCACCTTACCTTACATACCCCACCATTTTTCCCTATTTAAATAATAATCTTTTTAGGTAAGGTAAGGACCAAATGCGTAACAAAAACAAACATTGAGGACCAAGCGCGTAAAAAACAAACATTAGGGACTTTCCGAGTTAAAAAAATAAGTTAGTGACCAAACGTGCAAATTACCCCAAACCATAGGGACCATTCGTGTAATTTACTCATTATTTTTTACATTCATTATTAAGTTTGAATAAATAACATGGACTCCTAAAGGTAATATTTGCCTTTTTTGTTTGTGCTTTGCTGGATATACAGATATGTTTATATACATAAGTTCAATCTTGGTGTACAGTGGTGTTGATATTAATTAATTATTACAACATAATTAAATTGGTATAATTGCGGCAATTGATTTTAGTGGAATCGTAGCTGGTTGTGTATATTGGTTTTAATTCTGATGTAATTATTTTCACGCTAATAATTTCTTTAATAACGGCTTGCCTCAAAATGTAGGACACTAAATTTCTATTCTAAAATAAATCACAATAATTTGGAATAGCAATTATTAGCATGAAAATAATTACATGAGAATTAAAACCAAAACACCCAACCAGCTACGATTCCACTAAAATCAATTGCCGCAATTATCCGTCAACAGAATCCGCCTCCTTCAAGTCCAATAGTCGTTCGTCGGCAGCCCCCACACAAATCGGTCTTATCCACGACCAAGACCGCCGTCCTTGACTCCAATGATTTGATCGTTCAATGTGCATTCCTTATTTTGCTCCGAAGCCAAGAGCAAGGGTAAACTTGCATTAAAGGAACTTGTAGTTGTCGAACCAAAGGGTCCTTCCAAAAGAGATCAATCTCCCACACCCTACTATTTGTTGTAAATTGGAATGTTCAATAATTCTTTATTCATGCAAGTTATTTATTGACCTAATTAGTTACTCCCATGGTCGAAGACCTCAGTTAGTCACGCATAAAAAATGGGTATGTAAGTGGCGGTTTGATTCGGTTATTAGCCAAAACCGAACCATATTCATTATAAATGGTTAATGCATTTCAGTAGTCATTGGTTATCGGTTATAGTATTGGTTTTGGTTACGATTTTAGTCGGTTAGTAATTATAGTTTATGGTTAATATTGGTTAACCATAATGGTTCAAAATGATATAAAAATTAATAAGAATAAATACTTTGCTATCAAAAGTTAACAAAATAAAGTACATTGCTATAAAAAGTAATTGATTGAATGTGTATAATAACTATATTTATATGACAGAAAATTATGTATACTATCTAATTCCAAATAATTACCCTTTAAATTTTCAATTCTTAATACAAATACATACTATATATTTAATATTGTATTATATTAAAAATATTTATCATTATTATTGACTAGATTTAACATAACAAACCCAAAAAAGAAAGGATCATTCATCAAGTAATGTCTTACTGGCTTTATGTTGGTCTACTTCAACACTTGATAACAACATCCAACAAAAGAAAACCCAACCCTGGGAACTGTAAAGGGATCAAAACCCAAAAACCCAAACATTAGAAAAGTGGGAGCAAATGCAGATGATATACAGATACAGATTCACAGCAACACAAGGAGACAATGGCTTGGCTTGGCTTGATTAATATTCACAAGTTGTGAAACATAAGAAAAGTGGGAGCAAATGCAGTTGATGCAAATTTAACACAAACATAACTGATTATTAAAATAAAACACAAAACCTTTAAAGGATTTGGATTTGAGCAGACAACAAATAGAAGGTAGATTTCTAGCATAAAGAAGCAAGCAGCTCCAGCAAGGAAGCAGCAAATTGCATTTGGATGTCTTGTTCGATTGTTTGGAAGAGAGGGACGTGTACAAAGACGGATTTAACCCCATTTTGCTCTGCAAACCTAAGGGAATGATAGTAGACATAGTTGCACACAAATCTCCCAGCATCATCAGATGTCACCACATCATAACCCATCTTTGCCAACGATCTTGTTATCTCATCCACAGGAACACATGTCTGCAATAAACAAGTAGTAAAAATTAGTTTGAAATCTTATGAAAAGACGTAAATGCCCTCCCTCATCATCGGAAATGATTTTACCTTTCGTGTTTTTGAAATTCCACCGTCTGCAGGAATAATAGGAACTTTCTGCAAATAAAAAGGATTTGACATTACAGACCAAACAACAGCACAAGAATAAAATAAAAAATAAAAAGTGTATTCAAGTCAGAATTGGGTAACTACTGAAAAATATATTAGTTACTTACCTTTTTTTCATAAGAATTTTGAAGTACAGGGGTGTTTTTTGAACACTTTAGATAGTAGTTAGTTACCCAGTAATTCTGACATTAACTTTTGAAAAAAAAAAAAAAAAAAAAAAAAAAAAGGTTATGATGGAGTATGGAGGGAGGGAGGGAGATCTGACCTGAGGCTTCCATCCCATCTCATCAGGACAGCGGAAAGTAGCTTCATTTACAGCTTGATGCTCAATAGCAAACCTTGTGGCCCCGCTATTTACTCCAAAATGTAACTGAAAAAATAATAATTTCGAAAAAAATATATATTATATTATATACTTCATTGGCTTATAGCTCATACACACATTAAAAATAATAAATAAAGGTTTAAATGGAAGTTATAATACACAAATATATGAAACTACATTGCTATTTCTTGCATTTAGCCCTAAAGCCTCGTCTTCTTGTGTTTACTTTTACTAAGTGCACCTATAATAATCTAAACTATCATGGAAAAATTCACGTTGACTTGCCTCTTTCCAATGCCTAAAACATGAATTTTCCTTTAGATTCCATCATTATTTCTTGTTTACATAGTTTGTGAGCATTTTTAAAATATCACAATTACCCTTCCCATGTTCCCAATCATATTTCCCCATGTATCACTTTTTTACTTAATTGACTTTGTGGGAACAAAACAAAATCCTCAGAAGCTGTATAGTATATAGATGTTTCTTTTGAACTTAATGCAAAAACAACAACTCAATAGAAAAAGTTATGGAAACAAGGTTTTCCCCCATTGAATCCTAATTATTTACAAATTTCCCTCGTTTATTTTTTATTTTTCCTCTTTCTCGAAATATCATTCAAACGGTACTTTATCTTATCCAGACAGCGGTTAATAGGAAAATAAAGAGGAACAGGGCCTCAGAGAAAGGAAATTTTATGGAACTCCCACCTTGATTTGATGGGAATTTTGGACTTTTTTATAATGTAATGATACAATACAATCACCAAGGACATTTTTTTGGAACATTTATAACAGCTATGATAAAGGATCTATATGCATGGTGATACTTTATTTGTAAACTACTCAATTCACAAGGATCAGCCTCTGGGTATTAAGATATGGTGGTATGGGGTATGAAATAATAACATACAGTTGCTCAATCTAGTGCTAAAGTTGAATTTAGATACATGGAATATGCAGTAGGTGACCTTTTGTGGATAAAAAAATAAAATCATAATGGATGAATGATGATCTCCAAATTTAGAGATAGAAACCTATTGAAGTAGTAATGAATATTAACTTTGTATGTATACAATTAGTAAACAGCAATTTCACATAGAAAATTGAGAATCAAAGATTAGAGATAACAACTGACCAGAATGACTTTGGAGAAATTGGATTGTTCAGTGTCCTTGCTGACAGCAGATTGTAATGTCTGATACAAAGGAACAAGAGCTCCTTGGCCTGCAGTCTCCAGAATTGTGCAACTACCAAGAGTCACCCCCTTTGGCAATCCATTCTTCTTCATATACTCGTTCAAATTATTAACAATTTTCTCAGTTGGATTGTCTGAAACTCCATGAAATTTCTTAAACCCTGTCACATGGAACGTTACTGCTGGAGGCCCTTCTGACCCCATTTACCTACACTTGATCACTAATACTAAAGTTGCACCTACAAGAAAATGATTACTTATCAGTTGAGATCAAACTCTAATTACACAAGTTACACAGAATACTTATTCCCATCAGTTTATAATGTTTGAGCAAATCTACTTTCACTTATGATTATAAAGTCAAATAATCAGTTTGCTCATAGTTGCAACAAAAGTATAATTATCCACTATTAGAGTAGAATTAGTTAGATATAGACCTGTCAGTTGACCCAATTTTATCTATTCCTTAAACGATATCAATTTCCCAAACACATCGCACTATCAAAAGTGATTATCTGTCTCCAACACCATGTTTTGTCAAGGTTGATTATGTAATTCCGAATTTTCAATAGAGTAATCACTTTCAAAAACGATAATCGAAACAATCCCTAAGTCGGAAACTTGTATTTCTGCAGATGAATAATTATCGTGTTTTAGCTGAAAGTCAAACGAACACCTGACAACTGATTTTCAAATACATATCCGGAATCAAATCATACATACAAAAAAATCGAACCGGTCAGTGATTACTTCGGCAACTGTACATGAGAATTGTGATCGAGCATATCACATACGAAATCACTGAAGGCCAGCATGAAAATTATTAAAAAAAAAACCCCTATAACTTTTCGATAAATAGAGTCGAATAAATCAAACTGTGAACTATAATTCAGAAGCAATTGAAACAACAAAACCTGATCAAAGGCATATTGGATCAAACAAATCAAAAGGAAGGAAAAGGAGAAGGAATTGTGCGTTTACCTGAGAATTGTGCGCGAAATGGGTACAACCACCAGTCTTATCTGTATAAGCGATTAAGCAAAAAAGTTTAAGCTGATTGAGATTCCTTTTGGCAATCAAAAGCGAAGAAAAATACACATTAGAGGACGTGTCAAATGGTGTGTCGTTGTCACACTTTGATGAAACTTGGCATTTAACATCTTCCCTTTACCATTCTTTTTTGATGAATGCAATCGTATTTTGTCCTTACTTTGGCCAAATACAAAAAATATGACACCTAATTCATTTAATTATTGTTTTACCTATATTTGCAAATAAAAGGTAAAATTCATAAAAAAAAATAATAATAATAATAATGTTTTTTTATTAATTAATCCCACTTTATGTAGACATTTGCAAAAATTACCAACTAATCCGAAGTTGAGCATTTCGTAATAGACCTAATTAATTTTGGATTAACTTTACGTCTCATCAAAAATATATTTTCATCATAAGAAAGGACGTTTTGGATTTCAAAATATTGATCTTGAATTTGTAAGTTGGATTTTGGATTTCGGACAACGTTTTTCCCCAAAAAAAACAGTCATGACAACTATTCTCAAACACTTGTTAACGAGTATAATGGTGATCAATGACGTATCCAACCCGAAAGTGAAATGGGGTGCATAGTTAACCGTTGACCGTGTAAATTAATAATAATAAAAAGATACTTAAAAGTAGAATAACATTAAAACATTCAGCTAAATGTCATTTTACAATTGAAATCTACGAGCAGACATAGCTAAGAAACGTTTGATAATACTTTCATTCGTAACCTTGGAAAATCCTTCTCTTTCAAGCGCGCAAATTACACAATCATTTAAAAATTTATCCGAAATCCGATTCCGCAAATCTGACTTGACAAGCTTTATCGCGGAAAAACATCTCTCCACCGTTGCGGTTGCAAACGGCAAAAGCAATGACAACTTCAATAACCGGTAAACCAAAGGAAAGTTAAGATGCATATTGCTTTCCACCATCACTTTAGCAAGGTCAGATATACTCTTCAAAGTAGCAAATCTTGCATCTTGTTACATAAAAGTTGGGTAAACCGAAAGTTCATTTAGAATATTCAACTAATCTTTAAAGCTAAAATCATGTCGATAGAAATCGGTCAACTTTCGTAACTTTGATGGGTCAAAGTCACAAAATGAATCATGTGGATTCAAACCCGTCATACAAATAAGCAATTCGGAACTTACTTCATTAAAATGATGACCGAACTCTTGAATTTGCATATCCAAAACCATGTTCAACAAAAAAAAAAACTCGTAATAATGGCGATTGGAGATAGTGGTGTACTGTCTTCGGGCTCTTGGATTAACATAAACTTCCTCCATGTTCACCATTTGAATGTTATTATTCTCATAAAAAGAGGTGATATCCAATATAAGTGCATCAAACTCATCATTTCTCATTTTTTTTTTAATGTTGCAGTGGTTGATTTCACCAAACTTATAGCATTCACAATATCTTGATCCTTTCTTTGTAGAGTTTGTGACAATATGTTTGTGATCCCCAAAATTTTCAACATCAACTGCAAGTGGAACACAAAATCAAATGATCGAAGATATATTCGAAGACCACTTGCTTGACATTGACTAAAACCATTAAGGCATTCATCTTCAATATATTTAAGCACATCAGTAACAGATGAAAACAAACCAACCAAACGCGATAGAGTTTTGTAATGAGAATTCCAACGTGTATCTCCGGCTCTACTAAGAGAAAGTTCTTGGTTTAATCCACTTCCGGTATCAATTTCACCACGGCCGATGGATTCTTCTAGTTTATCTTTTTGACTTTCACGCAACATATATGTTCGTTTACAAGAAGCACACACAACATTCATTAGAACAACTATCATATCAAAAAAGACTCCAACGTCGTGATGTTTTTTTGCAACTTTGACAATAACTAGCTGAAGTTGGTGAGCAAAGCAATGAACATAATATGTTGAGGTATTTTCTTTCATGATTAAAGATTTTAGACCATTAAAGTTCTCACTCATATTGCTTGCTCCATCATAACCTTGACCCCTGACCTTCTTTAAACTCAATCCATATTCAAAAAATAAAGAGTCAATAGCAGATATCTTTTTGAATACATGGAGCCACCATTTGATTGTTCCCTGGAGCATTTCGTAATGTAACTTTAAATACACTCTAATTTTGATCCCGAATCAAATTATATACTTCCAAGAAATTTCCTCTAAAAAGAGACATTTCAGACTCATCGTGACCACGAAAAGGTAATGCACATTTCAATAAACATCTACAAGCATCATAGAGCCAAACTGGGCTCGAAGTCATTATGGACTCGAGGTTGATACGGACCCGGTGGTTGATATGGACCCAACACAGTTACTTGCTGTTACACGGGGTTGATACGGACCTGACACAGCCATGTGCTGTTATATTTATGTGTATGATGTATGTGGTATTTTTTGGAAGCTTACTAATCTTTGTGCTTACAGTTATGTTTATGGTTTCAGGTACTTCCGGTACGAAAGGGAAGGGTCCGACATGATGGCACAACATTCCCCCCCCTCCTATGTTTCCACGATTATGATTTCTTTTACTCTGATGTTTTTGATAGTTTATATCTTGAATGTTTTCGAGACATATGATGTATAGGATTGATGAATTTGAAAATGATGAAAATGAAATTTTTATCACTGTTCTTGGGACGTTACATGGTTTGAAACATCTGAAGTTGGGTCGTGTCTTGAAATTTCAATACTGCTTACCATGTAAGGAAGGAATGGAATGGTTCATTCTATAGGAATTAAAAATGTTTTGTGTTTTGTTTTGTCTGATGGAATGGAATGGATCATTCTTGAAGGAATGTTATTCATTTCTTTCCTTTGTGGAAGTGAAATATAGGGTTTATAATTGAAATAATTTGCTTTGGATCTTTTTACAGACTTCAACAATCCCTTTAAGGAAGATGGGATAGAGATCACTAGTGTGGATATCAATTATCCAATAGAACCAAATTCTATAAGTTGTTTTTTCCACTTGTACGTTTTTGCTTAATTAATTTATGCATCAGGTTAATGTTTTTATGAATGGATTAAATGAAATGTCTTCTAAATACAAAGCAATTTTCATTGCTTCAATTCAGTAGATTTTTCAAAGTAAAAGGTGTTAATAACAAAATGCTACAATTATTCTGAATTACAATATAGTAATAGAAGAAATGGAAGTCGAATGCTATAATAAGCAACAACAAAATTGAAATTACATTGCTTTTTCTTGCATTAATCCCATTTATGAATTTCATGACTACTACCTACAACCATACTATTCTATTGAATGAGTATATCATCAATCTGATTAGGAAAAATTTTCTTGAATTTTTATAGGTTGTCTATGAGTTTGAATGGGAGTATGATGATCATGAGGTGAGCCTTTAATCCTTATTGCTTTCTTGAATGTTAACTCATGAGGTTGAGGTTTGGTAATAAATACAACATAATTTCTACAATTGTAGAAAATTGTTAGTTTTACTCATGTTACAAATTACAATCATCAAAATTCTTGAAATTAATTTTTTGTAGGATTTAACTAATGTCCTCTTTGTTGAGCAATTGCCTGAAGATCAGAAGGATGCCTTCAAGGTAAACTTGTTAAATAAATAAGACAACATTTAATGGGGAAAATAAGAAACAGAGGCTATATCTTTATAATCTTGTTGGATTGTCTTTATTTGACTTATTTATCAAATGATATATGAATTTGTTAAGGAAAAGGTTAGAGAAGGTGTCACACCCTCGAACCAGATGGCAGAAACGTCTAAGGGCTCATGTGACTATCAATTGAAATATCATCACAATGAATATACATGAAACATAACACATTAATCACCAAACATTACATATT